CTTCCTAAAATACTTGAAGCCTGGTATGAATTTATCCTTCAGGAGCCTTTTAACGTGTACATGTACTGTTTATAAAACAGACAGTACTCTGGTACGCTGCAATGAATTGGAAAATATTTTTAAAAGGGAGACAACTCCAACACAAAATCAAAATGTTAAACTGCATTATTTATCATGTTTCTGTGGGTGAAACAAATATTGTTCAAATTATAAATGAATATCAGTTTATAGTAATGAATTTATTATGCTTATCAAAGCTTAATTATATACTATGAGGAACAGCTGGGCCGTACCAATTTACAAACTGTATACAGTTCACCACATCCTCATCAGAGCCGTACTCCGTGACCCGCCCTGCCCATCCATCACCTGTCGTATAGCAAAGCATATGGTCGCACATATTATATAACGTGTGCTTGACGACCTCGAAGTTGTGTGGCGGGATCAGGTAAACCACTTCCTGTTCTGTAGTGGCGTCTGCTTGGATACGCCACTCATTCTCCTATAAGTACTTTACATGTACTAGTGTGTATAGATTTGTAAGATCTACTGCACGAAAAATTCATAACATCCAGAAAATGAAAATTTTGTAACTGTTGAGAAGAACAGTCTGGGTTTAAGCGTTGTTCTATGTGGTCCTGCTGTGATTTATTCAAGGTCACCTCTGGGTGACCTTTACATTGCTCAGACAATGAAAAAGCTGTTGAACATGAAACATGTGTTTTTTGATAGCAAAATTGAATTACATGTATATGGAATGAGAGATTAACAAAGTGTTAAAAAGTGTTGCACTGAGGGACTTATGGACAGATTTATTGTGTAAATCAATGTTTTTCGTTTCACCCCATGCCACATTGCCATGTTAGAGTTGAGATTTTTATTAGTTACTGTCAGATGATGTAAAAACCATATCGTTCTGTCACCATTTGCCCAGAAAATTTTGGCATTAATAAACCCTGGTTTGACAATAAATTGAGATTAACGCACATACTTCTTATATAACTATTATTAATAAAAAGAGAAAAATTATAAAAAGGGACCTAGAACTACGTTGGTAGCATGCATGCGAGCTAAAGGTGGCAAATGAAATTGACCGGCATTATATTGAGGTTTGACTGTATGTGTAACATATCAAACAATGTTTAACAAAATAGAGGGGTTCCTTGTGTTCACACAGAGAAGTTGATCTTTTAATAGAGAGGTACTTAGTATTCATAAGGAATCTTTTTGCATGTTTTGTTTTGGTTGTACAAAACAAAGTTCTACACTCGAACATTGACTGTGGAATGTTATATATACCACTCATCAATAGTTTAAGTTTTGATTTGAACAGCAACATATTTTCAATGTCAGTTAAAGTACATGTAATTTCAAAGGACACTATACGTATACATATATTGAAAAAGATCAGCTCTTTCGAGAATTTAAATTTTAGCAACAATTCTCAATATTTATCCCCCCCCCCCACCTACACCTAGTCCAGCGCAATGCACCAGATGGTGAATTCTTCATTTTGAATTTGGTATTGACAGGATTTTTTCTCTCAAAATGTTTAGTTCTCTAGCATTTATGGCTAGCTACACTTTGGAATTTTGTACAATATATTGTGGTATGTACTACCTGTGTGTCAAACGAGTGATTTATGACAACGATTTGTCTAAATAGATTGGCCAGCCATGTCTGGTTAGGTAGGTGTATATATATGTTACTCCAAGTGGCCTCTTCTGGTTACCATGGTTTTGGGTACATCACTGGTGTTTGTAAACATTGAAGACTGGAATATATCTAGGTTAAACCTGTTAACGGAGGAATTCAGCATTTTCCTTCAATTCTGGAAGTTGACTTATATATAATTACCACTGTACATGACCTGACATTGTGTCTGAAGTAACATATACATCTCAACTCTCAAGGTTTACCCCAGGACGCATTCTGCAATGTTTTTAGCTCACCTGGCACGAAGTGCCAAGTGAGCTTATGCCGTGGCGCGGCGTCCGGCGTCAATATTTTACTTTAAACGACTTCTCCTTAATAACCAAAAGGCCTAGGGTGATGATATTTGGCCAGAAGCAAACTGGGATGAAGGGCTACAAAGATTGTTAAAATTAATGACCTTCACCCATTTTCAAGGTCACTGGGTTCAAATATGTTAAAAACTTTAAACATCTTTTTCTTGATAACCAAACTGCTCAGGGTGATGATATTTGGCCAGTAGCATGTTGAGATGAAGGGCTACAAAGTTTGTTCAAATGAATGACCTTCACCCATATTCAAGGTCACAGGGGTCAAATATGTTAAAACTTTAAACAACTTCTTCTGAATAACCAAAATGCCCAGGGTGATGATATTTAGTCAGTAGCATACTAGGATCAAGGGCTACCAAGTTTGTTTGAATGGATGACCTTGAATCATATTCAAGGTCACAAGGAGCAAATATGTTCAAAATATTTAAACAACGTCTTCTGAATAACCAAAAGGCTCAGGATGTTGATATTTAGTCAGTAGCATGCTGGGATCAAGGACTACTATGTTTGTTAAAGTGAATGACTTTGACTTATATTCAAGGTCACAGGGGTCAAATTTTTTTAAANAGTAGCATACTAGGATCAAGGGCTACCAAGTTTGTTTAAATGTATGACCTTGAATCATATTCAAGGTCACAAGGAGCAAATATGTTCAAAATATTTAAACAACGTCTTCTGAATAACCAAAAGGCTCAGGATGTTGATATTTAGTCAGTAGCATGCTGGGATCAAGGACTACTATGTTTGTTAAAGTGAATGACTTTGACTTATATTCAAGGTCACAGGGGTCAAGTTGTTTAAAATCTTTAAACGACCTCTTCTGAATAACCATGGGTCCCAGGATGTTGATACTTTGCAAGTTGCATCCTGAGATAAAAGGCTATAAAATTTGTTCAACATAATGACTTTGTTCGACTTTCAATCACAGGGGTAAAATGTTTTAACAAAAAAAAAACCCAGGTTCTTTTGAATGAATTTTAATCATAAATACATATATTTTGCCTGTAGCTTTATTTTAGATCACTTTTAAGGTTACAAGAGTGAAATTCATACCAGGTGAGCAATGCAGGCCCATTGAGCCTCTTGTTTATCTGTTGTTATATTTCCCTTAGTTTCATTGCTGCAATGCAGCATTTACATGGCGTTAATATGTATTAAACCCGGTCAAATTTTTGTTTCACAGATAACATTTCATATGAAATTAATAGTTTAATTTGGACTGATTTCATACAAATATGTCACATTGAAATACATTTCATAAATGGCGGTGTATTATAATAATTCTTTAAGAAGATTTATGTAAATAATACGTCTTTTCCTCGACTTCCTGTTGATGTCGGAAGTTATGTGTATTTGATGCATGTCAGTACATAATAGTTAATAGTGGCAGACTACTTCAAAGCATAATCCACTTGAATTTTTTTGCCAACTCCCTTTTCCGGGTGAATTATCTGAAAAATATTCAACTTAATTTTAGAATTCAATACCTCATTTTATTATGCATGCCGAGTAGTCTCAGCAAAAAGATAAACAAATTTAATAACATCCGCATTTTAAAAAAATCTTGAGAACAATATCGTAGCGGGTAAAAGGACATGCTTCTTAATTACCAAGAGCTACAATTTCCCAATGAGAATAATGGCTGGCTATATCATATAGGTAGCTATATAGAGAAAGTCTACAAACTGAACTTTATGTATTTACAATATAAAGAAGTCGGGGTTGGTTTGTGAGAGGAGCCCCAATAAAGATATGTATATATACGTATACACTGGTGGCTTTTGGACACATTTACATGTATATGCCTGACATTACCGTATATATCTGCCAATAAGCCCATGCTTGGTAATAAGCCCACCAATATATATTGCAGTTAGGAAGAAATGTGAACAAGAACATTTCCGTCGTCCTGTAATAAGCCTATCCCCTTCTTTCAGTCGGAGATTAAGTGTTGAATCCCTGGGCTTATTGCAGAATAAATATGGTAAATCTTGTCATGTTAAATTATGAATGTGTATCTAAAACATGTACAGTACTGGTGCCAATTTTTCAAACACTGCGAGGGTGACAGGATGTTTTCTTTCCCCATCATGTGATCAATGTACTCCATTCAGACACACTATTATGTAGATAAGGTATAAGGTATGCAATACTGCTTGTTTCTATTTCGCGATACATGTACTGTATACCGGGGAATTTTTACCCAAACTTTCACCCTTCGGCAGAATTATCCATATTTTGCCCAGTATTACTTTTGCCCTTCACATTAAGTTTCTATACATATTATGTTGTTTACAAATGTTTGGTGTTGTGATATATTCGCTTTCATTACGGTAGACGAAAAAGGTGAACAATTCCCAGTACACAGTATTGTGAACAGAATTGATCTCACCAGATCGATGTATACTGTACATGTAAAATCATTACAGTGTCAGTTTGTCCATTAAAATTTATTTCACTGCTACCACCGTTAATGCTATTTAAGTGTTAGGAATTCAGGTACAGTGTACCTACACAGGTACATGTATATTATATATATTACTCTGCACAACAGTAAAACTTTGCTACACTGTCACACCTCATGTGAATTGGCGGAAGCATTTAACTCATTCACCCCCGAAATTTCATAATGAATTATTCCAACCTTTGAATTGGAAGAGTTCAAATGAGTCTAAATCGTAATGGGACATTGAATTATGTTGATGGAAATTATAAGTTTAACACTTATTTATATACAGTAGGTTGCAAATTAAAGCTAGGAAGGGTATTACTGAATATGTTGTGGTTTTAATTTAAGTATGAAAAGCAGGGACATTAAGATATGGTAATAAGCTGGCTATAGATGGCAAGTCAAGACTTTATAATGTACAACAAAAATAAAAACATCCACAAATACAAATGTAAACATTTCAGAGTACCTTATAAATCTGTGTTTGTTCTATAACTTATAACATGTTTTTTTTTCTTTGTTTACAGCGGGTGGTGTAGGGAAAAGTGCACTGACCATCCAGCTCATACAGAACCAGTGAGTATACAATCTTCTTCATTCTGTGTGTACTATTGCTATAATCAGCCAGTAGTTATTGGACCATCATCCTCGATACTCCAGGGGGTTATTCTCTGCATCCGATACTCCAGGGGCCCCCCGGGGTTACTCTCTGCACCCGATACTCCAGAGGTTTACTCTCTGCACCCGATACTCCAGGGGTTTACCCTCTGCACCCGATACTCCAGGGGGTTACTCTATGCACCCGATACTCTAGGGGGGGTTACTCTCTGCACCCGATACTCCAGGGGGTTACTCTCTTCACCCGATACTCCAGGGGGCTACTCTCTTCACCCGATACTCCAGGGGGTTACTCTCTGCACCCGATACTCCAGGGGTTTACTCTCTGCTATATATAGATCTAATTTTTTTACATAGCACCCGATACTCCGGGGATTTACTCTCTGAACCCGATACTCAAGGGGTTTACTCTCTGCACCCGATACTCCAGGGGTTTACTCTATGCACCCAATTCTCCAGGGGTTTACTCTCTGCACTCGATACTCCAGGGGTTTACTCTCTGCACCCGATACTTCAGGGGGTTACTCTCTGCACCTGATACTCCAGTGATGGGGTTACTCTCTTCACCCAATATTCCAGGGGTTTACTCTCTGCACTCGATACTCCAGGGGTTTACTCTCTGCACCCGATACTCTAGGGGTTTACTCTCTGCGATACTCCAAGGGTTTACTCTCTGCACCCCTGGACTATATCATAGCAAAATTGAAAGCACACCACTAGCTATTTGATTTGTCTCTGGAAAAAAACACCTGACCGATCGCAAGGGTGATACCTGTCCTTTAAAGATTACAAAGAAGGGACACCCAACTTGAAAGCCAGTCAGTTTTTACAGTTGCTCTACCACAAGATTTAATTGATGTGCATCAAAGGATCAAACAAGTCTTCTTGTCTCATTAAAAATGTGGCGCCCACTGAGCCTTCAAGTTTGTTATGACATCTTCCAGTGGTGCAAAGAGCGAAGGTGAGCGTAACTCCTTGAGTACCGAGGATGTTGGACCATATGTTATTGGTGATTATGTAAACAATGTACCTTATCATAATTTTTTTTTAAAAATAAAAAATTCGGAATTTACTAAAATTTCACGGAATAGCTATAATATACACTTTTTCAATTAAGCATGTGTAATTAGGCCAAAACAAAATTCCCTGTGTTTCCTATTCCCTACTACCTACATGGAAAAAATCCTCGCTTCCTACCTGAAATATATGTAATAGTCAAAATGAAAAAAATGAATTTAACTAAATCTCTTTAGTAGAATCCACTCATTCAGAACCATTTGAAGTGCATTCCAAGAAAATGCTGTAATAATTCTAAATATTTAAAAAAAAAAAAATATACCTACCTACATGTACATGTATATAGCTACTACCAATAGCTACCTACATGCATTCAAAGTCAAATGGAATAGGAAACACATATATAATTTTATTTGGCCTTGAATAAATCTTGGTGACAGGATGGAATGCTCAGAACAGGAAAGCAAAGGGATGTATATAAGTAATGGGGTATTTGTTTTGTCAAATACGGTATATACATGAAGTGTGTGTGTGTGTGTGTATATATATATATAGTAAGATGAAGACTTAACAGAAAACTTCACAGTTGCATTGATACAAAAGAAGATTGGGTTGTAACATTGTTTGATATTCGATGTACATGTACACACCCCGATACCAAGGGGTTTAACTTTTACAGTAGCACAAAGTCGACTAGCTTTGTTGTGTATATCAGCACCAAGTCTAATGAAAGCAGAATCATGAGAGGCGATGTATAGCTAACCATTGTGCTCGGATGTTTATATTAAGTACATTTATATGTATCATTTGCATACTTCAAGTTATTATTTTATATATATACAGACATTAAACCGTAATCATCATTTTTAGCACCCCTGCTGTATTGATCATATATAATTATTATAAGAATCCCCCCTCAATACAATTTGATTGGGGGGAGAGTGGGTGGGGGGGNGGGGGCATATATATAGTGTTTCTTATGTCTTTCATGTCAGGGTCAAGACCATGGTCACTGTTACTATAAATAGAACCAAATCAACCAATTCAGTGAATCACTCGAGCAACTTCATTTCTTTAATAATTAATCTTTACGAAAAATCAAGCATATAAAGAAAACATGTAATGAGTTTTATATCAGGAAACAAATTGCAAAGGCCCCGATCTGTTGTTATTGCAGTGTTGTATACGTACAATTTCACCAGGGGGAAAATAACGTAATAAATACTTAGTGGAGCGGATATATGAAGTAAAATTATTTCAAAATTTCAAATGTGCTTTGGTGTGTGTAAACACCTAAATTTTCTCATGACATTCGTATACAAAACCTAGTTACCAGATTTCATTGGGGTTATCATGTAACCATTTCCGTATCCCGACTCGTATCAACCAAGACCTCCATGTCAGCCAAGTTTAAGGGTTTATATGGAGTAGGATGTGGAGATGATTGTGTTACAGCCTTTTTATCAGCTACTAAACACTGTTAATGATTTAGTATAAAAAATCTTTCTGAAATGTGTTAAAACGGAAGTGAAAAGGATATGGCATGTGTATAGGGCAGATATGGATTGGTCTAGATCTGGGATATATGGTCTATGCACATTATGTATACAACTAGCAGTGTTAGTATAACACGTGCAAAATAACTTATATCACGGACGTACATTTTCAGACTCCATACAGGAACATAGACCAGTGATTAGCTTCAGGGCTTCAAGGCTTCAAATGCCAGTTTACTTTTCGCTGCTTAGCTGTTGTCTTTTTTGAACATTTTTAACCGACAGGGTGTTTTATACCACAATTACGACACTACAACACAAAATCATTAGCATTAGCTGCTGTGCGTAATTAAATATTCTGTCCTGTGCTTCTCCATTACCATAAACAATACACACTGATATTACATACAGCTATAAGATCAATGAACAGCCTGGTCAATTAAAGTTAATTATTCAAAAGTCTTGAAAGGTACAATTATAATTAACATTTTCTGAATCCAATGGAAACTGTACGTATCTAGGTATATATATATGTGTATTTATAATTATATGCAGGATCAATTGAAGATTTTGTAACGCTATGTGGAATAATATAAGCCCAGTTTAAAGGTATGCATACTCTTTTAGTCTGCTGAGTATATGTATGTTCAACTGTAACAGGAACGGAAAAAAGCACGGCCAAATCAGGGTTCGAACCCAGGACCCTCCAAACTCTAGACAGACGCTCTACCAATTGAGCTACTGGGTCACCGACAATCAATTCAGTCCAGTTCCCATACTTTCCTCCCTCCATTTTCTAAGTCTTAAGTCTTTGCCCCAAAGACAACACTATTTACAACCCAGGTTCATGTATCCGGCCTTGTCAAGCATTCACCTAATACAGTGTACTTGAAACAAGGGTTGGTCACAGGCACCAATTGTTAATAACAGGAGCAGGAAAATGCACGGTCAGACCGCAGTTCGAATCTGGGACCGTCCAAACTTAAGACAGATGCGCATGCTTTACCAGGCCAATTGAGCTACATGTATATGGTCACCGACAAACAACCCAGTCCAGTTCCTCTACACAACAATCTTTTATGGGGCAAAATAATAATGCAACTTTATCCCCCATTTTCATATAACCAGTGCTAGATGTGAATTAAAGCATTGCACATTAATTCATTATTTAAATTTAAATAATGGGAACTAAGAATTTTTGTGTTTTGAAAAAGGTAGAAATTGAAACAGTTACAGGAGAATTTTACACGAAAAAGGGAATTCTAGAGGGGTACCTTTTCGTAATAATAAAGGTGGTTTTAGAAGCTAGAGTCATTTGACAGAAAACAGATGTCATATATATATATATATATATATATATATATAGATCTAATTTTTACCAAAAAATTAAATCATGTGATTTGTGCACACATATGCTTATTATCATCAATTTAGAAATTTGTAAAATTACTTGCTCTGACTAACAGGTCTGGAATCAATTTAGAGATCTTTCTAATGGCCAGTGGTCCAAACAATGTATATATATATTTACATAACAGGGTTTTGTGTTAGGTCAATTAGAGAAGTATGTCTGTTTCCAATTATCCTGGGAACCTTTTCTGTCATTTTTGTTCCAGCACTGAGTTTTGATATGTGTTTTCAAAAGACGAGCTCTGTTCTGTGAATTATAGAGAATTATATACACATTTCCGTTCTACTGTCTGTAAAAACGTTTGACGGTTTAAGCATGATACGGGGAACTTTTACACATGTACATTATCCATTCAGAACCATTCTGTTCTTTCTGTCATGATGTTGGAGTGATCAGGGAATCATGTTGTGACGTCAAATTGTAACTTTGATGGAAATTTACGAAGTGGTCTGTGATTGATGTGTGTCACATAGGGGAAATGGTAACCTTTTGGCAAAGATTACCTGTTTTTTTTCTACAGAATGACTGTTTTACCATTTAGCAAAACTGTTTGAAGTAGATTTTTTTTTCGTTTCATGTATTCAATGGTATAATAATATATTTTAAACTCTAGAAAAAATGTCGAGAATTGTTTTTGGAAAGGAATAAAGATTGAAATGTTTTATGATATATGATAAGCTATTGCTTAATTTCCAATCATTTTCTCCAAAACACACTGGCACCTTGCATAATGCAATGAGATTGTAGGAAACTGAGTCTTATATATGATATACACATATACCATCAACAAATGCATTTCAGTCCTCATACATATACAATATAGTCTTTGCAAAAATAACTTCATATTCATAGATTCCTACTATAGTTTAGGGACCCTGGATCTCCCCTTTGAATTCTTGAGTTTTTGGACCCGATTTTATTTTTTTGTAGAGTTTAAAACATTGCAATATCAGTATTTGAAACAAGAGCGTATTAAAGTTTTGCCCTTAGGGATTTTATTACTATAAACCTCTTGACTTGTGTTGTGCACGACA